ATATATAAGTATATAACAGTAACAATTGTATAATAGGTTATTATAGTTTACAAACCAGTAATTTTGTCCTTAAATATATGTGTTATAATCGTTATGAGACATTTTTTCATAGGGCTACTAAAAAAAATCACTACAGAAAAAAAAATCGTCCTATTATTATTACATTTTTATATGTAGAAGTTTAAACGAAAAATTTTTACAACGATAATAATAATGTTAATTGCAAGAAGGCATTAAATCTACAGTAAGTGGTAGGTACACTTAGGTTTTAAACATCAGTGTTGTTATTAATGATTTATATAAAGCAAAATCGTCGATTATCATCGATAGTCGTTGAATCGTATAAACAGTGCAATATTAAAAAAAAAAAGATTAAAAAAAAATAACAGTTTATTAAACACCGTTTAAATTCACAACACGACGATGCTTTGTATTTTAACTGAAAAATTGCGGAAAAAACTCTTTTAAATAGATATCTTAAATCTTAATTATTGTAGGTGATGAGATCTGTTGAAACGCGACATTTTACCAGCTGGTACGTTTTGTTCTGATAACAAATACCTTTATTTTACGTAGTATGTAAAATGATAAAACGTTTTTGAAGGCAACGAATTATTATCTAATGCCTTAAATGTTTAGTATGTAATGATGTTTCCGGAATTTAGCAACGGACTTCGGTATTTATGTATTTAACGTAATAAGATATTTAACGCATTTTTTTTACTCTAAATAAAAATATATTAATAATACTAGTCATTTGAATGTTTATTCTGAATGTGTTATTTTATGTCCTGAGTATCTGTCTGACGGCACGAACGGATTATTACGCGCAGTTTTCGATTTGTCATTTTCATTATTATGATCATTTTGTTTCTTTTATTTGGTCCGTTATATGTTTTTAAACGTGTACAGGTGTAATAATGGTGTTATTGTTATATATTTTTATAATACACTTGGGAGCAGCGAACGGTTCGTAACAATAAAATAATACACAAATCATTATTAAATTATTACGTGGTTCAGGACTGTATTAAATATATATATATGTATTATTATATACTGAGCTGTTGTTACAATTATTTTCATTTTCACTTTTCTTTTTCTGAATGATTTTTACAGCATAAAGCTTTTATCTTTTTTGCTCTCAATGCAATATATATATATGTATATGTTTGCGCGTGTTTCTATGCTCACAGTCTACTTTCCTCCATTACGCCCCGTTATTAATCTTTAACCCGGCAATGGATTTTTCGACTTAGTTGCAATCGCGTGAGCATAATATACAGAAATAAAACAATTGTTTATAATTGTGCAACTACTGCAGTTTCTCTTAGTGAACAAGTCACATGAAATTATTGCGTATGCAATATGTATTTTGCTTTTAAACTGTATATTATTATCACCATAATCACTGAACAGTGTAAATAAAAATGCAGGTTTTGAATATTTTTACATTTGTTAAAATCTTCTCTCTGTGTATCATTTTAATATCGTATAATTTTGTTGGGTGGTTAAGCGGAATTTATTTTCGGAAATACGATCGCGTTTCTGGGTGAGGAGTATAATAAATGTAATATTTAGGTGATTAGCTTCCATTTCGTATCAAAAACTCAAGAAATTTACGTTAAACGGAATATGGCTGTCTTAGATTGTCGAGTACGTATATGAAAAATTTTACCCCATAATATTATGAAATACTGCAGGAAAAAATTTCAAATAATACACCAATCGGAAAATCGGTTTTGATCCACAAACAACAGCAATGGAAAAAAGGCTGGTTTACCACATTTGTATGCAATTAAGCGATAAAAATATTATGAACGTTTATTGGATTAGGATCTCGCATACGACTGATATTTTTCACATAATCAGTTCAACTACAGGGCGTAAAAAAAAATTTGCAAAAGTGATACGCACTCGCGTGCGATTAACGTCGTGCTAGAATTAATGTACGTGTCGAATCGGTTAATTGCGATAAAGCTAAATTAACAATCGCGATCATATAATAATAGACACGCGTGAACGCACGTGTATATCAATGAACGGGATAGGTATTATTTCGATAAATCGATCGTTTATAATAAGCATCATCAGTGGCGTCGACGAATTCGCTACGATCGCTCATCCGTCTACATTAACATTATTATAATGATTGCGTGCAGGTGTCATATTTACAAGTTCTTTACTCAGGCACGGTGGCCAATGGCCATGTTATTTGTCTTAGCTAGACTTCCAAATACTTCAATACATTAATGAAAAACAAAAACACAATTTAATTCTTTATTGCATCATATAATAATATAAGGTCTTATCTGGAACGTCCAAGTCAAAATATTTAGGCTTCAAACTTTTTCTATTATTTATAATATTTCTATATCGTTTAAAAATAAGAACACAAAATTGATTAATGTGCTATAGTAAAAATGACCAAAAAATTTTAGATTGAAGTGCGTTAATCAGGAATAATTCAGCGAAAGTGATTACTTTTATCGGTGTATGCAAAATCCCCCGTCGTTTTTATCACCTATTTATTATAGAGCAGTCGAACATCCGCGAATAGTGTTCGTTTTGGCCGTATGTTATCGTCCCGTGTTCGTCCATATTTTTGAATTTGTATATCACATATATTATATAGATCGTCGCTACCGTCATTATAAAACCGACCAAGTGTATAATATAATAATAATAATATGTGGTGCGGTGGCGGAACAATGGGTCTCTGGGCGGGGCGCCGAAGGGAGGTGTATATATAATAATACGAGCTCGGTGAAAGTGTCCGCCCGGACTGGGTCAGTGTTGCATAATAATAACGCTGCGCTCGCGTCCTTGTTGTTCTAGATTCACGCGCGCTCTATAAATATATATATATATATATATTCATGTAAAAATATAATACATTCGCACTCATATATTTTTTTCTACCTGTCTGGGTGTGCGGTGCAGTGGAGTGGCGCGACAGACGTGCAAACTGAGATGCCGCCGCAGTTGCAATATCGTATGTTATGCGTGTATGCCTACACTATTTTAATACAATATTATTGTGGTATTCGGGTGCGCGCCAAACGTAGTCTCGAGTCTGCAACAGACTTGTGGTAGAGGTTGTGGCGTTTACGTATCACCCGACCGTTGCTCAACGCTATAATAGTCATTATTATTATTGCGAACGTACACTGCGTTGATGATAAAAAGTAAAAACGAACCGCGGTCGACGCCGACGCAAGAAATGCTACCGCGGCACCGCCACCGTTCTGGCAGTTGAGAAATCTCGACGTGAAACCGTCGGCTAGCCACAATTTATCATTGTCTTATATGCCGCAGTAGCACTCCCCGTCGCATACACGCCATTATATTGTTATAATAACTGTTATAAAGTACTTAATGAATATAATAAAACGACTGGTCAAAAACATTAGCCGGAGGGCTGCTCAAAGTTTTAAATCATTTTTTTTTCTGTTCATGAAAGCTTCCTACTTGCCCCTGCTCAACGCACACTAATAATAATAATAATAATAATAAAATAAAGGTTCCAACCAAAGCCCAAAACGAACCGTATGAATATGACGAGAAATAGAACGCGAACTAGTTATTACCGCTTTTAGCGATTGGCACACTAATTACAATCTTATTATTATAACGATTGTATGAAATTAATATGCTATCAGTATTGTTGATCGCGGCGAAATAAAACCAATAACTGAGAGAGGTCTTTCAACATGATAATAATGTATCTCCTAGTAATAATAATATTACCGGTAATGATTTGGCGTTTTTGTGCTCGGACACGTGTGTGGGCCGATGACGATAAATAATAACAAAAGTTCATAATACATAGTATGTATAATATTATTATAATACATAACAGTGTTGTAGGTCGGAGTATAAAAATTAATATTTTGCTTGTTTCTATTATTATTATTTTTACACTATTTCGGTTGAAAACTCACAGCAACAATTTATATTATTATAGTAGCCGTGATGTCTAAGCCATGGACAAAACAAAATAACAGTCTCTCCGAATAATATATAATAATATTATAATATTGCTATAGCAGCTGCTTCTGTTCAATTTGTAAAATTAATTAAAATATCCTAGATACGTCAGATAGTTTGCGCTTCCTGAAACAATATTAGTATTATTGATTATTTTATAAAGGCATTGTAAATACATTGAGTATGTTGACACTTTAATTAAATACATAAAAAAAAAAAAATATTATTTTATTATTATGTATTATTATGCGATTTTAACGTAATAATTTAACCTCGTCCAAATTCAATATAATATTACTATGGACACCCGTTACCGTCGTTATCGGCATACGATGACTAGCATGAAATCGTAGCAGGTTAGGTACATATTTATATTTATTTCGATAATTTTCAAACGCGGTTTGGGTCGTCAAGTTCAGAAGATTCGTCACATTGTCTACATTAACATTAGATATCGCGTTTAGATTCATCATACATAATATATTATTAATATAATATGATAAATTGTACACGTAATTTCGTGCGATAGAAATCGTCTTCGTGTATCATAATAATTATATACACTATAAAAACGTCTACCGCCAACTCACTGCCGACGACATTACGAAATAAAAATAGTCGTTGCCTCTCGAGGTCTTATCATTAGTATTATTTACGAGTAGCGTATTAAACATAACTAAAAAACGCGACAAACATTAAACCCTATAAAATTACTATAAATAATTTTATAACATTTGGGTAGGTACACATTATAAATAACGAACATTTAATAAAATTAATCATTTTTAACTGCACTCACACATCATGTCAAACAAAAATCACGATACCTAGTATTAAACAACTATTGTTACTTACCTTGATTTTGCTAACTTTGTGAAGTTCAACTAAAAAAAACCGATTACAATCATCAATGCTAAATAGATAATTGATTTGGAGGTTTAATTTTTCTAAAAACAGATACACGCTTTATATGCTATATAAAATTAATAATAATGCAATTTGTGTTTTAGAATTGGCGTAAATGGTTTCGACAACCCGATGCGGGATCCAAAGACCGAAGAAGTAAAAAAGCTAGTGGGCCTAGTGAGTGAAAAAGAAAATACATAACAATATTTTTAATTTTATATTAATATATAAAGAACCGCATTAACTGTCATCACGTGTTTCACGTAGGGTGTCAAAGTGAAAATGGACGATCAAGGAAACATTCTCGTGAAAAGGCTGTCCGGAAAGAACGTGTACGTAAAGAGCATATCGAACGCCGGCGAAGAGACTAGCATCGGGGCAGACGTGCTCAAATTACCCAACTACTGTCTGGAGAATGATAAACCGGTTAAGGTTAGTGTATTACAATATATAGTATAATAGTAATTCATATATTTATCGCATATATTATGTGTCACGTGATAATAGTTTGTTATTTTTATACCATGGCATATCCGACCACGGTGCGCGTGGTTCAATCCCTGCGGATCTATCTATATCGTATAAAAATGTTTTGAATATTTTATATTTTTTATCTTTTGATAATATGATATACTATTGTCGTGGTAATAAAAAAAATAAATAAAAATATTTTTATTAATTGTATACTTTGAACTTAGAAATGAGAAGATGCAAGAATATCTAGTAGTGACATATTATACTTCTTAAAATTGACTCCTCGAATAATGCATTCATAAACAATAATTATTATAGTTTATGTATAGTACGCATCACAAATCATTATTTTAAAAATAATAAAAATCTCGAAAATCGGGTAGCTTTTGCGGCCCGACTGTTCGACAGTAGCCTTGTAGGAATATAACACGTATATCGGACTCAGAAAACATAGTATTATCACATCAAATGGCTTCCTATACCAACAATATTTACATACGGGTGGCGGTCAGACATTGTTCAATAGATACAGTAAAAAAAAAAAAAAAAAATAATGATAAAAAAATTAAAAAAAAAAAATTCACTGCATTTGCAATGTGTACTGCTGTAGCAGCGGCCGATATACTTACGCCGTACTTCGCTTTGCCATTTACCGCATTATTATTATTATTATTATTATTATTGCTGTTAATATTATTTACGGTCGGTCAGCATGTGTATATTACATACATATATAACGTATACAAGTAGCTCCTGTGATGCTGCAGCAGAAGCGGTGACACAAAGTCGGTTACGACTGTTGTAGTGAAGTGTAGTGGGGTGGTGAGGGACAACATAAAGAAACGACTATCGCACCGGCTAACCGGACTAAACGAAACAAGGTGCATGTCCCCCTTTCTTCACCTCCTCACCAACAAACCCCATATGATTAGATAACACTTCGACTTTTATGCCTCCATCGCTTATATATATATATATATATATATATATACGGCTATATAACAGCAGTCGTCGTCGAGTATGCAACCTATAAATGCACAGCAGCCTGCAGTGATCGGTTAGGTTAGGTTAAGTTAGGTCAGTGCATTATTCTAATGATATAATAAATTCGCGTTCAAACAAGCTGCATTTATGTACGATTAAAAGTCTTAAAAACCACAATTTTACCATCTCAAAAACTTTGATGATAAATAATATTTTGTGTGTAGGTATATATTATCATTATTGCCGATTGGTCAGTAAGTAAGTAATAATATTGCTTATATTATGTACCATTCGACTATTCATAACAAAAATATTATTATTAATCGTATTAGGATTTTTTGTGGTGGCAGAAGGAGATGCTAGGTATAGATCAGGGGTTATCTAGTAGTCAATACTTGATTTTCCTCAATTGCTTTCTCTATAGGTAACCTAACTTAGCGAATACTTTCTTCCCCTATAGCACGTATTTTTTTCCCTTGCTGTGAATATTTACTTCACCCATAAATGTGATATAAGTATTATTGTAGTCATAAATAATTAAATGTAATTAAATAAAAATGCCTGTAATGAATTAGTAGATAAGACGTGTTTGCGTTTTACTTATATAATAGTATACAGTTTGCAGTAATAATTCAAATAATTCTCTATTGTTCATATTGATTTGATTTTAGAAAATTTTATAACAAATTTACAGCTGAATCAAGAAGTTTAATTTTGACTTACAAAACATATCCCTAATCTTTTAAATATCAAAATATTGGCCAAGTTATTAAAACATGGCTTTAAAATTAAAAATATTCCACAAAAACTTCAAAATATGTAAAATTATATGTACTATAAATTTTGATTATTCCATCAACAATGTCATAAATCGTATTTCATACATACATCGAAACATTTTAATGATTTTATAATTACATCGATTTATTTAAATTAAATTATACGTTAGTTGAAATTAATTTATGTTTTTAAGTAATGTATTAAGTTACAAAAAAAATCCGTTTTCTGATTTTTCAGTGTCATATACACTGAATAACAAGCGTAGGTATAATAAATTATAATATACTATTATTGTTGTTAAATTCTTCTCAAGATTATATCATCGATCAAAGTTCTACGTCTATTGCAAACTCTCTTTCTCTCTCTCTATCTTTATATATATATACACACACAACAAATAGGCAACGAATAAAACAATAAGACGCGGTTGTGTTTGTAATATTGCAGAAACGCATTCGGATGTGGACGTTGAACAAAATAATATGTAAATGATTTCATCAGACGGAAACCATTATTACCGCTGTGGTTCCGATATCGAATTGTACAATAGAACATTGTTTGCGCGTATTACAAGGACTCCTCTATCAATGTGAATATTATAATAATACATCATCATCATAATATTATTGTAATATATCAATATATTATATTACATCCGTTGTCCCCATACAAAATACGATACATTCTAACACTATGACACAATATTGAAATTAGCTTTTTCGATACATATTGTTTATGATATTTATCAATGTCTATCTGCGGTGGTATACACCTAACTGTGTTGATGATGAATATTTGAATAACATTATTTATGCGTCTTTGAAATTTGGCTAAGTGTTTTTGAAAAATGCAATCCCCGTGTCAAGTGCATTCCAATACTCTATGAGCTATGAGACCTAATATTTATTGAGCAGGTTTAGATAGTTTGAAAATTGTTCTTGTTTATTGGTCAAACAATTAATATACAAATTTATCAAGCATGCTCACCCCATTTTTCAATTTAAAGATTTGTTTATTCGACTTCTGATTTTTAGAGATTTTAAGTATAAATTAGTTAAAAAATATGAAGTAGTTTTTGAGATATTAAACTCTATGTATTAAGGTTTATAGGATTTAGAAGATAATATATAAGGGCGATGAAAATTTGATCATTTTAATAATTAATATTAATCTATCAACATTTAATTTTTTTTAAATAACCCAATGTAATATAAATGCTATTTTATGTTTTTATAAAATCCATTTGTACGGAGTATTATCTTTAATATAAACATTTAAAGTCATTTTTATTGAAATTTTGAATTAGGTGCATCAATATTTTAAAAACGATTTTTCGCTAAATAATCTATTATTTATTAAACTGCATTATTGAAGATAATAAAGGGGATGAGCACTAAGCATGTTTGGTGACTCACCATGTGTACATAATATTTTATTAGTTCGGCAAATACGATTTTTTTGTTCTTCGTGAGTTACACATCACCAGGTTTTCAAACAACGCCGTCTTGCTATTTTACACCGGTACCCCATACAAATTATCTCAATACACATTATGTTCCCAGAAAAACGATCGTCATTTTATACATTTATAACTATATAGAAACTTCCATAAAAAAAATAACAGCCGTATATAATATTCTGTTGCGCACGTATAGTTTTTCAAAAAAAATATACATATATATATATCAATCGTTAAAGCGACGTAGATACCGTATATATAATATATATATATAGTATAATGCGTAGGTGGTCGTCATAATAGTCATTCGTTGTCGTCGTTGTGGGGCAGTCTTTTTTTCTTTCAACTCTGACCGTACGCCACAGAATATTTTAATGTTATCAACGCATTTATATACAAAATATTTATATATATATAATATATACCTACAATCGAACCAAACGCGTAATTATAGAGGTAGCCAAGATAGGTATCGTTATGGTTTGACGCGGATACGTTTTTTTTTCACTCGTTTCGTTTTTTAACCGTCGAGATAAGCCTTTCCGCGCGAAGGTCAAAAAATACGGTCGTACTGTGAAGAGGGTTGGGATGTGTTTGGTAGAGAAAAGACAGAACAATGGTCGTTCATTTTTTTTTTTTAATTTCCCTTCTGCACGTCTTTTCTTCATTTTTTTCTTCTTTTTCGATGTACGTTTGTACCTATCTGCCTACTTATACCTACTTGCAAATATATATATATATATATATATATATATATACTATTTATCATGTCCCGCAGCTATCTATATAGGTATATATTACTTCACTGTTGCAGTCCGTCCCGAGGAGAGCGGTTCATTGAATGGTAATTCCCGATGCCCCGGTAATTAGTTCGACCACCTCTAGCGTACTTACGACAATTGTTTTCGCCGTAAACGCATTCCACAGCGGGGCCGCCACGCGCGCACACGTCGCCGCCGTAGATAAGGTGTCCATTGAAATGCGTGCGCCGGTGGTGCATTTATCTTACGCCCGGACAATATCGTACTTAGTATATTATAGTATATAGATACTGTGGATCATAGGGAGGACGTGGTAGTCGACCACGAAAAGCGGTTATTAGGCTGCACATTTATGAAACTAAAAAATATATAATATATCGTTCGTGAAAATAACATAATATATTGTAATACGATCACAATATATCATTTTTTATGTATCTATATACGATTAACAGCCATAGACTCGATATTATCACGAAAAGTTTATAATATCATTTAAATTTAAATCGTCTAATAATAATTATTACTATTATTAAAGACTATAAAACTATTAAAAAAAATATTTTATATTTTAATCTTCGAGTGTTTAGTAATAATGATTATTCTTTATTTTTTTCAGTTATTTGACATGAAAAAATTCCAACAGAACGTGTCCAGAGAATTACGCAGAGCTTACCCTGATCGCAGGCGTCTAGAATGTCAATGTTTGAGTGCTATCAGTTTCGTTAAAAACGAACCAGATATGTTGGACAGCCCTATATGGGTGTTGATCATAAACGTTGTAGCCATGGATATGCTCAAGTCGAAATTGCCACCAAGTAAGTTGTTTTTCATTGAACTATTTTTTTCTCACTCGCGTGTCTATCGTTGAGTGACGATTTGTAGTGTTGTCCTACATTTCCTGTATTCTTTTGTTTTTTACTCTTAAATATATAAGATATCTATATGTAGGCTGTAGAATGAATAGCATCAAGGGGGTAGTCGTACCATTGTTCGAAGATATTATTTAATTAATTATTTTTTTATTTTTAATACTATCATTAAATTAATCATTTTTATCTTAGAGGTATCATTAAATAATAAATTACCATCTTATGACACCGACAATAAATTATTTTATCGAATTTGAGTCGTCTGAAACCTAACTATGTATTATTATTACTATAGATATAAATGAATAATTATAAATCTATTAAATTTCAATAAACTGTATTCGATAATAATGTCGTAGTATATAATATATAGTATAATGCATAATAATATAATCGTAGAATTTTTTAGTTTTCTTCTATTCGTGCATTGACGTTCGTTAAAGTTTCCGGAAAATTTCATGACAAAATCATTGGTAACGCGTGCAATAACTAACAAATTAAAAATAATAATATTTTTATATCATATAGGAGTTTACAGACTATTATGTATACTATGACTATTATGGTCAAAGACGTTAATGTTGGAAATGGCAACATTAGCTATGTAATATCTAGTAACTTCCCTTGAAATTAAGAATTGTTGAAATTATATACGTACATTACTCGGTCATTGATATTAAATAAATTTATATCAAAGCCGTTTAAGAATCAAAAGTTGTTAATCGAAGAGAAGGGAAAATGATAAATTATGCGTATTATATGATATGGTATTTATTAAAATGTATTAATCAGAATTAAAAATGTTTTATTAGCGCATAACGAAAATGCAATGTTAATCAATAATAATTAGATACTGAATTGAATATTGTAATCTATTACATGATTATTAAATTTAACGACTAATATGTTGGCCCGAAGTTAATAGTTGTGTAATTTATGATCACAATTCTAACTGAAAAAACAGGCCCCTTTTTGCTGAAATCCTTGCACATCCCTATTATTTTTTTTTATTGAAATCATAATTTCGAGTTAGAAATGTTTTTACAATCTTTAACCACCAATATTAGAAACGAAGTAATTTGCATAACATTTATAGTATCTACAAAATCCATTTTTCTCTTAACGGAATTGCTCTACTTTTTAAGCTAATTTTAAGTTATAACGAAATTTCCCAGCCAATGACGTTCTTTTCTAGTTATTCGTCTTTGACCGAATTATATACTTGTAATATATATGTATTTAATAATTATATGCGTATGCACTCGCCATTGACTTGGCAAAAAAAAAAAAAATAAATAAAAAAGGTCGTGGATACAAATACAGTAGATAACACCTATATAGTAGTGCGAGGCGTGAAATGATTGTGCGCGCCCGCATACAGGCAATAATAGTCGCAAACAATGGACACACGGTCCTGATTTCTTTTGATTGGTCACAGGACCGCGATTTGATTAGTCGTACTCAGCCCCGGAGGCTCGGGTTCCCACCGCGGTTTGATTCGTTCGACGGTCCTCCGGTGTATTATCATTATATTATTATATATTGATTCATATATCTGCAGAAATTCGGGTCACTGAACCGAAATAATTTTGATTCGAGGGAATCGTACCAAAGTTCACCATCATTTCGCTGTAACCTAAGCGCGAATACTAAATAGTATTTTCGATATCGTTGGATGCATCATTGCGAAATTCAATAATTAATATAATAATATAATATATAGATAGGTGTGTGTATACACATATAAAAAGGAACGCTTGTAGATCACTTTTTCGCGATCGTCATTTTCAACTGGAAACAACAGTATGGTTACCTATATTATATGTTGACGGTATTTATTGACTTAATATGGTGAATACTCGTTTTTATACAAAATCGTAACAGCGGCTTCGTAGAGGACCGCGTTCAACGTTTCGAATATTCCAACGGTGTCATATTATACCACTTAGGAATATATAAAAGTTGTGCACTACAACATGGTGCGGTTGAACGGTCAAAACGTGTTATAGAGTTTCAAAGGTGCTACAAATTTTAGGGATGTCAAGTTAATGAAGCATAAATAGATTTTTTTTTGGTTTTGAGGTTGAGGCTTAAATATAAATACTAATGTAAAATGTTAGCTCTCCTTGAAATTGTACATCAATTTGTCATCTAATATGAATAGAGCTATCAAATATTTGTATAGGTACATATAAAACTATATATATATATCGTTGTATGTGTGCGGTGTTTTTTCGGTGTTTTGTTGCATCGATGTGTTATACAATCTCACGAAATTCGTGACAGCATGCCTCACACGTGGTAATAAATCGCATCGTATAATATTATGTTATTTATCGTCTCAGGGGTTTTATAGATTATTGTAATATTTTTGTGTGTCTGAGCCTCGACTGATTAAATGTAACATTTATGATATAAACATCGTACATTTCGTGAGTTCACAAGTCGATGATAAAACGTTAATTATTGTTTACGTTGTTACCATTTGCGAGCTCCTCTCATGTATAAATTCAAATGAAAATGTCATCACGATCGATAAACCACTTATTTATTATGTGTTTTAAATTGGACTACGCAGATACAATCCCTCGAGGTTAAGACATATTAAATTATTATAACCAAAGAAAATATAACTTTAACGTAAAATTTCGTGCGCTGCGTTTTGGATCACATCATTATTCTCGTATATATAAATATAATCCATTATTATATTGTTTATTCAATAATAAAATAATATTGAGTTCAGTCGTTGTGTTATATAACGTAAACGCGCTATAGTTTAACGATCGAACGGGAATGTAGTTTTGCGGTCGGTCATCGGCATAATTATAAATTATTATTATAATGTTACGTGCTGCTGCAACAGCTGGTCTCTAGCAGATGACGTGTTTTACCCTCGTCGTACATTTATAAGTATATTTAAATAAAAGTACATTGTGTTAAACTATTAAGTGCAATTGAACTTTTTTAATGTAATAACATCAATAACATTTTTTCCGGTCTTTGAGATTATTATACTTGTTTGAATTGTAGTATTTCAGTATTTCACTTTTCAAATCAGGATTTCTTTCGCATTGCTATTATTATGTACGTTAGATTATATTATCATTTCACTTCGTCACACATTAAAATTAGTTTTAACTTTTAATGACAAAATAGAAATTCTCGATGATCAATCAATTTTCAAACAGGAACCACACTCTTGAAGTATAATAATATATTAATGTGACGATAGAATTAAAAACGTTTATTCGAAACCATTATGCTGAACGTGATGCAGAAAAACTCAAAACTTTGTTATAATCTGCGACGGTGATCTGATACAATTTTACGAGGGTAAGATGAGGGATATTTTTACACGACTTTGCGCGGCACTATCCGATCGACTCTGCAGAGGGAAAAAACATATTAGGTATGTCGTCCTACATTCGTATAGATCATGTCCCCGCGCTGTGTGGGTGGTCGCCCGAGTGCGCGCGCGTCGTTCGTAAATGTATTATTACATCGTTGTCGTCGTCGTCGTCGTCGTGTCCGCGCTTGCGATATCTCGTCAAGTGCAGTTTGCCGTTTTTTTACGCGGCGGCAGTGACCTTTTAATTGGCGCACAGTTCGTCTGTTACGGCGATTAATCCGTTTCGGTGCAGTGTCCCGTTGTAGATGACGCACTTAGAAGTATAATGCATATCATACATATGTATGTATATATATATATATTCCCACATGTTTATTAAGCACATATTAACCGTTAACCAGTGCAGATGATGAGTATCGTGGTCATGACTTATTTTATTATTATTCTGTTCGGCTGAGAAACATACGAGAAGACTGAGATGGGGACAAAGAAACAAAGTGAGATATAGAAAGAGAGAGACACGCAACGAAATTATATTATATATATATAATATGATACATTAATACATATTTGTGTATCGTGGTTATCGCAGTGGTGGGAGGAGAAAATCGGGCTGTTGACGGGAATGCGGACCCGGGGTTAAAACACTCTCAAAAAGGGATACGTCTTCGTTTGTTATGTGCATATATCTATTATAACTCGGTGCCAATTTCCATCGGTTTATGGTTTAAAACAGCCGCGTCAAACCGGATACCGCGTAATAGTAACACGTACTCGGACTACCGTCGATGTGTCGGCGATATATTATTATATTATAGAGTAATCGATCGTAACGCGTTTCATGGAATAAAATAATATAATATTATAACGTGATCGTATTTGGTATTCGGATCATCGCTTCATAGGTTTAAGACAAATACGTTCCGGCAGCTTGATTAATATTTTAATAATTTTACATAATATAATATGAAGCACCATATTGCTGCATGTTAATCTCATTTCTGTACAACAAATGGTTATTTTATGGATCGTAGTAGATAACAGGATGAGCGTTGGAAAGAGGATGGACTCGCTCTACATAATATACTTTAAATCCTTCGTAAATTACTCTACTTGTTGGTGTCATTGAAATATTCATATCACCGTGAGTTATCTATACTGTATTAGGACATTTTTGATTCCCGTGTTTTTGAGTGGTGCGATTGTCTTATAGTAGTACCCATTGACTCATATGAATTTTATCATTAGGGAATAGCTCTACTTATAGTTTATAATATCATCTATATTAAAACATTAGCGTATTATTTTAATGTCTACCGACTGTCTTTAATCGTGGTTGTCGTACGCATTATTGTTTATGCAGTGAAACGGACTACGGTGGATATTAAAAATCGGCCAAGAATCCCGATCCCGGATGAGGACCCGTATAGCATAGCGGGAGCAAACATGGTGGCCGCCACACGAGAACAACTGATGATGCAGACGGCGGCGCGCAGGGGCGACAAGCCACCAAAGCTGCCACCTAGAGACCCGTCGAACCCTTACCCACATGAAATACCTAAGGTAATAATATTTATAAATAGCCTATAATTTATATAATATAATATACGATTTGGCGGAATAAACAAATGCGTTAAGTGACATTTTACAAATTCTTAGATTAATAAACGCTTTCATTCGTGTTACGCGATGTAATAATAAAATTTCATTATTATCTTAGAGTGGGATTTTTAATAATATTCAGTGCGTCTTGTGTGTTTTTTAAAGATACAAAGTATAATATTTTAATACATATAATCGTAATGTTTGAGCGGGTGGTTAAGTGATTGGGAGCTGTCAGGTTATATCCCGAAAACAGAAACTTTAAATAGATCTGAGGAACTCTGAAGTTGATTTATTAGTATAATTAAGTATGTAATGTAATTTAAGACGTGTTATGGCTTAATGAGAGATCTTTGCCTATTTCTTTTTAGCACAATCTCTAGCACACATATGAAATATGAATAGCATAATTTGTTGTAAATAATTATAATTAATTTATGCTTATCAATTGTCTACATTTTAAATACTGTTCATATTTTATCAATTAGTTTGATGACTATGTATGTCAGGAACACTTAAATAATAATAATAAAAGAAATCAGGACTTAAATTCAAAAATTTTATTGATTTGAAGAGAATTGGGGTATTATATTAAGTAGTAAAATTAATAATTATACATTTTATCATAGACGAGGAAAAACAATAAATATCATTAATACATTTTGTGATATGTCCTTATACACATTTCGAGCGTATACCTATCAAAGTGTTCAAATACATTTTGATAGTTTTATGTCTTGCCAGATTTTGCATGCACATGTAATTTTGTCGAAAATGTTTCTCTATACTACATACGTTTTTTTCTTTTCATGATTGCAGCCTGACTATGACGATATCGAAGAAGAAGAAAATAGATTGGTAGGCTCCATGAAGCAGTTCACCTCATCCAGGGGAAAGGACAAAGTCAAGGACAACAATAAAAAATACGGTAAATACATACATATGCTTATTTCGCCATACGTATTATTTAATACGACGATGTCCCTTCTCGCGCAGATATAATAAAAAATATTATAATTTGCCATTAAATAAAACGTATAATAGCGATGTGCGTGGCGGCACAGATTCTTTAATGGATTCTCCCGCTCATCATGAGTATGATCGGTAAAGCTACAGCGCACACGGTAAATTATTATTATATATTTCATACTATACAGGCATAATAATAAACGCAGTTCTGTGTCCCGAAGCCAATTTCGCCACAGTGTAATCGTCCGGGGTTAGGAGGTGTCTGCAATGCACGCACATTTATGCATATATGTATCCATACATACCTTTATTGTAAATTGATAATATTAAAATGTAATAGAAAATTGTGTCAGCACAATTGTGAGCGTACATTCAAATAATATTATTTTATTTTTATTTTATTAACAATAAAGTCTTAAAAATTTGGGTAATTAAATTACATTTTTAAGAAAATTAATTAACTTAATTTTATAGTTTATAACCATTTTCATATCGTGGTATTTCACAGCATTCGTATGTATCATTTAATGCGCAAATTTTAAAAAATAAATTAGTTTTTAATATCAAAACGTGTGACCTTATATTTTTTTTTTTTTAGTTATATTTTGTGTATAGATAATATATTATAATATATTAGCTAGATGGCTTTTTTAAATGCTTTATGTTTATGCGGTATCCTTTAAATAAAAATAACGCTAATACTATGCATTATACGAGTATACACACATACTCGTATACCTTATAAATATTTGACGAGTGACTGAAATTTTATTTTAATAGCTAAAATGATGTAAATTATAAATATCACATATACAGTTATATGATAGAAAAAATATTTCCTTTATTAATTTTAATAAACTTAGTCATTTTAGTCATTAAATAAACATAAATATTATAAATTGCTATTTTTTAGTTCTGTTGTATAAATATAAAAATAAGATTTGACCTCGTTTTGTTAACAATGTTTCAATTATTTAATGTGTAATCTATAAGCGACTAAAACAGTTTCCGCGTAAATATTGGCGAACATAAAATATGCATAACTTGTGCGCCAAATAATAAATGATCATATACAATATAAAGGTATAGTGAAAATAAGTCGTGAATATTTTCCATCCAGCAAGGTTATTGATATCATTAAATTTATAGTTGTGTTACATTGTTAGCGTTATAAATCACACACACACATATTAATATACATATTATATTATAATATCAATAATACCTATTATTAAAAATCATTTTAATGTTTCTCACCAGATTATTTCCGACGTTGCACGGCTTTTCGGACGATTTCAAAAGACAAAACCTATTTATTATTATTACCATCATAACGCTTCTGCGCAATAATAATTATAATTTCTTTGCATCCAGCTACGACCTTGCCCGGTTTTCGTATTCTTTTTAATCCGTTTCGTCGAGATTACCTAATTCAACATAAAAAAATATAATGAGGCAATTAGTATACATACTACGCTTATACGTCGCGTCATTGTGGTGGGCATCGTTATTATATTATTATAATATAGGTACCTATATTATATGTGATATCAGCAGCTGTCGCATATCCGTCTGCCACACCAGACGCTCCTCTCATAGATGATCTATATAATATAATGTAGGTACTTAGTGATTCACCAATTATACTTCACCCCAATTTTTCCTTCTATTCAAATTTTAATCTTCAGCCTATTTATTTATTCTTAAGACCATACTTTTAAACAAATTGCTCTTTTCACAGACCAAAAAACCTTAAAATTTCTTAAAATCAGAATTTAATCTAATAATAAAATATAATTTAGCGTGCCTGGTAATTACACTTAATGGTATGAATAGTTAATATGGAATACTTAATAACTACAACCGTAGGTTCGCGATATAATTTACACCTTAGACGTGTTTTAGGTACCTATACAATATAATGGCTGTCAAGGTGATACTGGTATAGGACAAGGCTTACACGGTCTTATTGTATCGTTTGTGTTAATACGATTTTGGATTTAATAAGATTGGATATTATGCAGTCCATCTTTTCCTAACCAAAACATACCAATTATATCTAACTGAGTGAAACTTAAACAAAAACTAATTTTAATGTATTCGTTACTGTCTTCGACGTATAAAATTTGATACCATTAAATCAACTTTTTTACTTTTTTTCAATGTTCACTATAAGTGTTTTTTTTAGTTCCAAATTTAAGTTTTGAAACAGAAATGGCAATGAAATACACGGTGTATTTCAACACGATTTTATTAAAGGCGTGATGAAAGTTTAATTTATAACAGATAAATACTAACTTTCCAATGAATTTCATTGCATATAATAGAAAATGTATAACCTATAATATTATATCTCAAACCATACTTTACACTAGGGCCTAATAATTTAAATCGTGTTAGAAACAACAGAACCGGAAACTTACAAACTCTTTCGCTTCCGAATTAAATCAAAATAATTACACTTCTCTTAACACTATTACATCCGGAAATCCACCTAGAATTCGTTTTAAGAAAAAAATGAATAAAGAGGCTTTTTTTAATAACACTAACCTGAAACAAAATTCATGATAAAAATGTTACAACCGGTTGATTTTTTTACTAGTTGTCATGTTATGTACTGTATTTTATTATCCATATAAGTGCTTACTGGAAATTATCTTATAGATGTATAATTAAATATAATATGTTAAAAAATAGTGTCACATAATGATTATTATCATTCTATATTATATTATGCATAAGTACAAAACGGGAAATCGGTACTCGCGTAATCCATTCGAATTACCGGTTACACGTTGTTATTATAGTTATTCTAGATGTTTGTAAAAAAAAAAAAAAAAACTGCAGCAGTAAGGTGAAAGGCCGACTCTGTGCGCGCAGAACCAGCTGACGTACATACACTTTCACTTAATGAAACGGCATCTGCGTACCTTGACATTTAGTATCAATTTATTATTATTATATTTTAAGCACTCTGAGCTCGTTGTAATTATACATTTTCGCTTTAATCGCGACACGAAGAACAAAAAGATATGAAAAATTGCGCGTATGACAGTCCTGGAGGTGCGGTGTAAGCTGATATTTTTAATGGTGTATAATATTTTGTTACGATATGACAATCAAAAGTTTTCATATAGCTATTATAATATTTGACAGAGGACCTAATTTAACCTAACCTTATCTAAATGATAAATGTGCGATAAAATTTAAAAAAAAAAAACGTTTGTGTCCAACTAAAAAAAAAAATGTCTATAAATAAATTATGGTGCCATATTTAGTAGTTTGACAGTGCTCTGGTCTAGAATAAGATTTCTGAGACTGTTGTACTTTATACGAATTTTCTGTGGCCAATCTAATAGTACTGTTTTAATGTATAAAATCAGGTCAAGTTGATACTAGCTTTTAATCGAAAAATAACATTCGATTATTTAAAAACGCTTTAGCCAACTAGATTATAGACATAAGTTAAAGTAGTAGGTACTGCGTATCATTTTCTCTTTATAAAAACAAACTTTCGGTTTTCAGACGACCCGTACTACTGCGGACTGAGAGCGAGAGTACCGAACTTTGTCAAGACTTCCAACGGAAAAACTAAGGAGTTCATTAAAGACGTGCCCAACGGCCCGAAGATGAGCACCGCTGTCCCGCCATCACGGTACCATCAGAATCCGATGGCCCTGTCCAACGGTCACCTAGCCACCGCCGCTCACTATCATCACACGCAGCCCGCCATGTGGCACACGCGCAGCTTCGACAGCGGAATGGGTGAGCGATCATTTGATATAAAATTTTGTTGATGATTATTTTTTGTGAATTCCGATAAACACTTTGGACGTATAATATAATCGATTCGTTTGGTTGGGTTACGATATGGTGATCATGAGTTCACCACGTTAACGGTAATCAATTGAGTATTTATTAAACCTAACGATTATATGCATCTCCACGGCGAAATTTACAATTTACCATTTTGATTTTATGCGGTCGATACTAGATGATAACGGGGCTGAACGTTATCCATTTCCCGTTTCATTTAGTTGTACTATCATTGCATCCGTTGCGGATTTGAGACGTCGATCACCGAAAAACCGTTTTTTAATAGGCTATACAGATATAATATTAAAATAACATTATAAACAAAATATGACGACAGTAGTCCATATCATCGTTATTGCAGCAAATACATAAATTCGTTCGTTTATTGCACGCTATACTATAGCAACATTATTACGGAACTTTTTTTTGCACCTGACTAGAAATAATTAATAATTGTTTTTGAAAATATGCATTCAAATTATACCTATAGTATTTAGAATAATATGAAACAAACAGTATGTTTAAAATTTATTCTGAAATAACCATATAATTATTATAAGTACTTAAATTTGTCGGTCAGATAAAATTACTTTCGAAACATTCAACAAAGTTTACTGTCACGTCACATGTTTCGATTACAACATAATATAGACACCGTTTTATAACATTATATTCAAAACAGCTTACTGCCCTAATGATTCTTTTCATTCGGTTTCGTTAAAAGAAAAAAATTACCAATTCGCATAATTTTAGTTCCAAATACTAATACCTAGAGTTAATTTATTATACGTTTTTGGTTTAATATTATGTATACACTGACATCTCGCCGTCATTATTTTATTTATCGTATTTAATTCTACTTCTATTTGTCAGTCGTAAGTGTTCCATTAAAAAAAAAATAAATATGTTTTATTTCAAAACCATTATAGTTTACTATATTATATAAGTTCAATCTATAATTTAAATTATACTTTATTACCAAATAGAGTCTGTTATAAGTTAGTAAAAGGATTATAGCATATTATACAGGGTTGTTTTCAAAACATTCTCAACTCTCTTTATCCTCTAATGTAATGTATATATTATGTTACTGATTTTTATAATTTTTAAATATACAAAACAGATCAATATTTTCAAATATTCACACTTCTATTATGTCATTTTTATGAATTTAAAATCATCAGAACTTAAATATTTAAGCCTATCACCAGGGTCTATTATTGTCCGATAATGAATAGAATTATATCGTTTAGATTTATAATTAGCTACTTCAAAAATTTAAATATTTAACAACTTACAATAATAAAAAGTGAGTTCAAATTTGAAAAAAAAAGTTTGTTGTTTAGCTATAATTAAGACATTCTTTAAATTATGTAAAATAAAGTAAAATATAGTACCTACTTATTATTATATTTAAATATTTTTTATGTCAAAATTTGGATTTTAATATAATATATCTATGCGTTATTTAGGGGCATGTTGAGCATGTTTGGTAAATTATACTACTGTATGCTTATCCGTCTCTTTTAAAAGACAAACGATTTTGTCTCGAATTAAAAAAGACGTGTAGCGAATTCATATTAAGTCTGCGTGGTAAAGGTAATTTATGCAGATTCTGGTACATATATTTTTACAAAATTAATATATAAAAATTAAACGTCAAATTGGTTGTTTTTGCGAATTTTTCTTCACGGCTGTCGACACGAAACCGGACCCCGTTATTCGAATATAATTGTGCCGGAAACGCCTTTTATTATTGGGTACAATCGATTATCGATCTCGATCGTCATCAAGTCCAACACGATGAAAACCGTGACCTGCGTATGGCGTATCTGCACTGTAGACGAGTACAACGATTCTCGTTTCCTACGGTTTAGCAAACGATAGATTAAATCAAATTTAATAAGTTCAAACCATAGGTACCAATGTGTACAATATACAGTATGATAAACGATTTCACTACGCGGAGGTTCATAACGGCACTTCGATCGGTTAAGATCGACATTGTTTTTACCTTCTCTGGAGTTACCACTAGTAATCACTTCAAACCAAACTGCAACTATTGCAGAACAGGGAGGAATAAAAAGCTGTTCGTCAGGAAAACAATAAAGTTTAATAATAACAACATGACCTTCCTAGAAATGTAATTTCGACGGATTTCCTCCGGTGTGCTAATTTTTCGGTGTAGGTAGACTATTATATTATCGTTTATTACGCATAATATTATGTTATTTGTGACTGGAGCGGTGGACTTGTAACGACTAAGCGACAATATACGACCCCACGTATTGCGCAATTTTATTATTTATGATTATTATTATTATTGTTGTAAATAATTATGTTATTTTTTTAAAACCGGTTTCATATAATCGTGTCCAAATAAGACGATGACGACGACGCCTAAACTGAGTTCGCAATAAGACCAATTAGCAATAATTAGTCCACTGACTTATCTCGATAACGCCAATCAGTGAAATGAATACATAACAAATTTAATAATATTAGAATAGAATGTTATACAATACCTTAAAGTTAAATTGCATAGAAATCTATTATATTTCAATATTTTTATTATTTTTCATCAATTTTACGGTAAATAAAAATCATTCACTGAAGGATTAGGAAATCCGTTCTGTTTATTAACCATAATACTACAGTATAAATTAAAAATAACATGTAGTAAAAAATCTACGAAATGTATGCACGATCATTCTGTATAGTATAAGCATTGATTATAGAATATTAATAATAAAAATATAATATAATATAATATTAATATTCTATAATCAATGGTATAAGTCTCAAATTTCAATATTATATGTATGTATTAGTACACTTAAATCAGTTTACATTCTTTAATTATAGGTATATGTGTTTTTACTTTGAAGTTGATATAATTTTAAAATAAACAATAATGATTCAAATTTTATATGGACATCTATAACATTAAAATAAATTTATTTTTATCCCAAAATTTTGATTTTGGATACCTAGAGATTTATATAATTTTATCTATAATGGATACATTCTTAATGTATTCAATGCAATTTACAGTAATAGACTTCTAACTGAATATATGTAAAACACTTGTTACATAATATTAACTATAATAATATGTCATTAAGAATGTGGATATACTTTAATAATTTTGAACTAAATTAAAATGTTTATTTTTTTTTTTTTTTTTAGACGCCGAAGTTTTTGATTCGCCGTACAACCATATCTACGGACGGTTACCCATACCCACTAGAGGTTACATACCGACGGGACACAGGACTCCAATGTATGTTGGTGAATGGGACTAACGATTCCAACTGGATGAACTGATTTAGGTCGATCCGCGTTTCTCATCGACGAAAATCGAAATGATCCAATTTTAAAAGAATCGAAAAATTAAAAAAAAATCATTGTACTATATATATCCCTTTTCGTTTTTTTTCTCGACTGATGGATTTATATTTGCACATAAATATATATATATATATAAATTGCGTACATATATATTATATATTATAACATAATGTATCAGAAAATGATTTCTCGAACTTTTTTTTTATAACTATTCTCTTTTTATTATATACATATACATATATTATAAAAAATATTTAGTAGATATGTATTTTTGTGATTTTTTTTGTTTTTGATTTTATTTAATTGTCTGTCGCCGGTACAAAACGCGATGAAAATTCGTACCACTGCAGTGTACACACTTTTTATCATAATCATATTATAATTATGTAAATATTATGCATATAAGTTTTACATTAGTATGAAATAACTTTTTATTACGGATATACATAGCAGTAGCATTAGTAATATGCTATAATAATTATTAAGTATAAATTGTGTATCTAAAATTATAGTCTTGTCATCGTATCATTGTTTTGAAAAAATTCAAAATCTTGTTTCGACGACGTGTGCAACCGTTTATCATCCCACGGTCGTAGATCAAACACACACACATCGCAGGTATCGTATTGTTAAAATTCTCATGTACACCTTGTTGTCTGATTGCCGAAAAACCACGTCATCGCGGTGATAGTAATAGTGTTAAGTATAGTATAATTGTTCGTAGAAAGCGAAAAACAGAAAAGCGAAATTCAGTCATACAGAGCTAGCACTCGACGACGACGTGTATAAGGAGATATGCATGTTTAAAGATACGATTTTTTTTTTTTATTTAACCAAGCTTACCGTGTGAAAATAAATAGATCAAATAGAGAACAGAGAAAAAAGCAAAAAAAAAAAAAAAAATACAAATCGGTGTGGGGAGACGTAAAATCGATCAAATTCTTCGCGTATAATATACCTATAATGTATAGAAAAAATAAACAATTTTTAATTCGTAACAAAGAGATTAAGTTTAATTTTAATGAAACAAATAAATACGTATTGTATAAAAGTAATTTATATATTATCTTTGTTGTTTATTATTATTATTATTATGATTTTTATATATATATATAATATTAAGCTCGCGCGCTTTTCGTATATATAATATTATAATATTACCTATATAGGTACGTTACGATTAGACTTTTTAGATTTAACGCATATTATTATTATTAGTATTATCAACAGTATTATAATAATATATACATTGTACGCCTATTTTATATATCCTTTTTTCCCTCTCAATTTTTTTATTATAAAGCGAACGATTATACGTATGTTTGTCGCGCGCGACCGATGCACTGCATTTTATAACATATTAATTATTATAATATAATATTATGATCATAATAATATATGCGTATTATCATACTATATAATTTTTTATAAGGTTCGCGCGCGTCGACTGCGTTGTTCACACTTGTTGTCGTATATCTATACATATACTAGTACATATATACAATCAATGATTATGTGAACAATATCATAATTTTAAACGCATACATACCAGTTAATTATTATTATTATTTTAGTTAAGTTTATATTTAAGTTTATATTAAGTATATAATCGTAATCCAAATTTGTATTTCATGACAATATATAATAATTATTATTATGTTTTTCGTCTATATTATACATAAATAATTGTCTTGTATTTCTATATAATTATATGTGTTTTAACTATAGTAATGATAACAATATACAATAATATAAAAAAATTTTAATGTTTTTTTTATGATAGTATACGAATGACGTAAATTTGTTTTTAAAATTCCACGATAGATAAGAATATCCACAGTCTCAACACTTTTAAAGTTGGATATATTATAAGTTGGGAATTAGCTCAAACCAGGACAAACAAATAAAATATTTTTGATTTAAGAATTCAGATGAATACGAGATGGTTAGCAATTATAAAATTGATTCCCAGGCTGTTTATAGGTAGTATTCTAATTGGTTCTCGGACTATCTACAGGTAACATATGAATTGGCGACATTACGTAATGATGATACAACCATGTTAAATTAACTTTCCAAATTAAAAAAAAAAATTAATATTTTTATGTTTTTACTGATACATTTTTCCTTTTCAGCAATTTTTTTTTTTTTTTGATTTTATCTTAAATAATAAGTTTCTTTGCTTTGTAAATGTTTTACATTGGATTTTTTTCAATTTTTAATCAATGAAAACAGTTTAGGACGGACGGAATAAAATTGTGAATTCAGTTTTCCATGAAACGATTCACAGAAGTTTGTTGTTCATTCTGGTGTAGCTGAAAAATTTGCCTACATTTTTGTGAAAAATCATTTTCATCTTTAATTTAATCGTAATCGAAAAATGCGTCAAAAGTTTACTGGTTTTATAGCGATCAAATCAACATATACGTGTCTTATTATAACAGGTGTCAGATGCCAGTAAAGAAAATTCAAAAAAGTATTTTATTAATTGCTTAGTCTCTAAATCTTCATTTTTGAAATTCATCGGAGAATTCTGGGTATTGAATTTTTTTTCACCATGTTTATCCTAAATGAAATCTATTTCTTTTTATTTTAGATTGTGGCTAAATTTTAGATATGGCCACATGAATAGGCTTTTTAAAATCCAGATAAATATTTTCAGTTCTCATATGATTTTCTACAAACTGAAATGCTTGTTTATAAATTATAAGTGAAACTGTCATTACGAGTATTACACGATAGGTAAGTAGTTTTAAATTAGAACTTTATTAGCCCTGGAATCCAATTTCGTATTACCTCAACATTTTAATGATAGGAAGAAGTAAGAGTTATGGAACTATTGGAACTAAACGTTATGTGTATAATCCATTTTCCACTATAATCGTACTCTTCGCTTTTCGACTACACAAAAATGTTCAATATTTTCATTGTGTTATTCCAAAAGGAGGTAATACAAAGTATAAAATTTGTTTGAAAAAGATGTAACAAATTAAATTATATTTATATTATTATTATTATTATTTATATCAACATAAAGTAAAATTAAACTTTTTGGTCTGACCAAAAGGGAACGGTACCATTTTAGTCGAAAAGAGTCTCGCCTTACATTATATTATATTTGTAGCTCTGGATTAGTTTTAAAATAAAGTCAACAAATAGAATAAGGATCTCATATCCGAGAAATCTTTGCAACCTCGAGAAGGACTCAGTATAAGAAACCAGCCCCAATGAATCCTTCTCCGATCGAGACACGACGAGTGCTCGTATTTCGTGTCACGTAAAATCATTATAGTTATTGTTTTGAAACGCGAGACAAGTTCAGTTTCTGAAAAGAGCATAAGTTTACTAGTTGGATCGAACACGAACCTTAAGGACGTTAATAATAACGATAATAATATGATATTAAATATATATCGTGAATGTGACGATATGCACGTCCATAGAAAAAAATCATATTGTCGTTTTCCGTCGTCCTGTAAGACCCTACTTATCGTCATCAATCCCGTATGGGGTTATGTCGTGTTAAAAAAATCGAGTACAATGTTGCTCGCTGCAGCTCTGAATTTATTATTATTAAAAATTCCTCGTCGTGCGTCGTCGTACGCGTGCGTAATAACAATAATATATAATGCGATACGCCCTAACCAACTCGACTATTCTTTCCACGAGGACCTTGAGCCAGGACAATTACAGATTATCGTTGCTATCGATCCTGGTCGGAGCATACATCAGCATGTTGAATATATAATAATGTTCTGATGATCTCTGGGTAGGTACTCAATACCTACAATATAAATATTGTAATAATAATTATTTACATAATATGATATGCTACCTACATAGTTGCCCGTTGCCGAGTCAAAGGCAAGCACGCGTGCAAATATTGAGAAATAAACCATCGACATGATTATTATCGATTTTTGCGAGCGTATATACGCCGGCTATATAATATATTGTAGTATGTTTTTTGTTTAATTTTAATATGCGCGCACGTACGGTGTAATATATTATAATGTTATCCCGTGACAATAATTACCGGCTGCCCGGAACTGTTTTACTACCATGGTAACAATATTATAGTTTAGCTATAATTATATGTAAATATTTGTGTATCATCGTGGAGGTGTATAATTTAATATACGGTGTGGAGCGATAGATCAGATCGGATCGTCATCTTTTTTCCACTGTATATATACATATATTATAAGTACTGCCGCGAAAAAAAATGTGCTGGTAGTAGGAAATAAAAAAAAGACGACCTTAACCGGGCGAATTTGCTGCGGACGAGCACCTCAAATTTCGTGGATCATATATTTTTTTAATTCGTTTTTTCATGACCCACAGCAATTTGTAGTGGCGGGAAGTTCTTGGGTGTAATTTTTTCAGTAGACTTTTGGGGGCTTTATTTATTCTTCTAGAATGATTTATATATATTTAGGTATTCAAAATATTATCGTTATTGCATTAAAAACGTATACATAATACTTACACTCATTGTTACGATACATGTAAAAATAAATCATTGTGATTAAAATAACAAAAAGTATAAAAATAAAATTATTTAAAATTCGTGTTTAAAACAAAATGCGTAAACTTTTTTAATTTACATGTTCACGCATCCATTATGATAAGAGGTCTATACGACAGTTTTTTCAGAGGTGCTCCGTATAGCCTCCCAAATAAATCTTACTCCATACAACGTACACTTTAATGAGTTTAATGACAGCGCTCTATAGCTTAATTATCCAGCTACGTATATATTTTATAGTAAGCATTAAGCACCCAGAGTGATTTATCAGGCATACTCAACACCATTTATTAATTTAACTATGAATTTATTCAAATTTTGATTTTTAAAATTTTTAAGTAGGTATAATTATTTTAAAATGTTTGATATTTTTTTGTAATATTTAAGTAGTGTTCTGCGATAATACAAATATATGTTTTTCGAAAATTCAGAGTTTATGTTTTATTCTTGAATTTTTCACCAAATTTATACATACTATATCGTAAGTGTATACATTTTATATTTTTATAATATACATATATCATCATATATATAAATATTTTAATATTATATATACGGTTATTGATTTTTTTTTTTACTTGGTTTGAAGTCTTTATAATATTTTAGAATTTAAATTCT